AATTCTTTGTGTTTTGTTTTCTAATTGTCATTGTAGGTCAAGCCATATTAAATTCAAGAAAGGATTTATTCACATTTAACAGTTTTTATACTTGAGTAGGGTATCACTACCTATCAATATGCTAGAGATTTTTTTTATCTCTTTAATTGTAAGCTGAAAACAGCTAACCAGGTTTAATACTGAATTTTTTAAATTGAAACATAAAAATTAAGGAATTTTAAATCTCTAATTTAGAAATGTTAATTGATACTGCTTTTTACACAGGAGAACACGAAGTTATACCTCAATTTACTTGAAATGGAATATAGTGGTGACCTCAAACAAAATGAAGACAATATCTTAAATTGTTTTGACAAAGCTATACATGGCTCATTACCTATTAAAATGAGAATTACATTTTCTCAGAGAAAAGTGGAATTTCTTGAAGATTTTGGCTCAGATGTTAATAAGTAAGATCTTAATTATATTATCTGTTTGAAGGGTAAATGAGCATTTTGGGGATGGGAAGTTGATGATTATTACAGAATAATATATTGTTAAATTTTAAAATGTTTGCTTTGATTACTTCAGATACATGTAGGAGTAAATTCAGTATCATAAATATATGTGTGCTTAGCAGGAAGACATGGTTTGTTTTCCCTTCAGAATTATTTTACTAGTTTTATCAATTTATTTAAAAATTTTTTTAGTTATACATGAACACAATATCTTTGTTTATTTATTATTATGTGGTCTTGAAGATGGAACCCAGTGTCTCACATATATGCAAGGCAAGCGCTCTGCCACTGAACCACAACCCCTGCCCCTATTTTCCTAGTTTTTGAATGACAGTTTAAACTATGAGTGAATGAGAAATGGTAGGAAGAAGTAGTCTCATATGAAGGGAAATAAAACAAGGATTGAACCATGAAACATAACATTTAGTAGGTAGGTCACTAAACATAAATGGGATTAATTTGGAATAGGAATGACACTTTTATTTTGAGATTGGAGAAGAGGGTAGATGTGGTTGGTCCCACAGATGATGGTTAATGAATGACMTCTTCTTCTAAGCATTATAAAAGACTGAAAGTTGAAGGTGGGTAGAAGGGTTTGCTCCAGATTTGGGGAAAAGACGTGTTTAATAAGTTTGCTACATAGAAGAGTAGAAATATTGGCAAGAACACTGGTGAAGTTCCAGTCTTATCTGATTCTAGTAAGGAAATATCTCAGTACCTGTTTTCCATATCCTTTCTCTAATTAATTTGATTTCCATTGAAACCAGTAGAGTTAAAAACAGAATTATTTGTGTATCTTTGTATTTTTGGTGGTTTTGTTAAATTTCAGTTCGAGTAATACAGCTACTAATAAATTTAAGTGCTTGGATTCATTCTAATATTTTATAATTAATGTAAAAGTCATAGCAGTATAATGAGTATAGGTACTATTTTTTTAGTTGAAATGGACACAATATCTCTATTTATTTATTTTTAGGTGGTGCTGAGGATTGAGCCCAGTACCTCACACTTGCAAGGCAAGTGGTCTACCACTGAGCCACAACCCCAGCCTGGTACTTTTCTTTTAAATAGGCGAAGAAAGGGAGCTTAAGGATACACTAAGCAATTTTTTTCCAAGGTCCCTTAGCTATATTACTTTGTGGGGCTAGGATTAGAATCTGTTTCCATGTCTCTGCTCTTAATTGTGTTCCATTACTCTGTATATAATGTCTTCTGTTTTACACTGCTGAAGGCATACAAAGGAAAKAGATAATGTAATTTTACCTTTTAGTTGAATGGTACAATTCTCAGAGGAAACATAAGTGAACATATATGAAGCTTCATAAGGGAGGTGGTGGAGCCTCATTTAACTAATACTGGATTCTAATGATAATTGTGGAGAGGACAACAATGATGGAAGCAGATTAAAGTTCATATAAAAGTAATATCTATTTAGAAGGTTTGGAGAAGTATTGAAAGTGTTACTTTTGTTTTTTTGGTAGTGCTGGGGATTGAACCCCCGGGCTTCACACATGCTGGGCAAAGCATTCGGCCACTGAGCTATACCCCAGCTTGGAAGTATGATCTTGATTGTACTGTGCCTTGAGAGTTCAGAGAACATGCAGTAGTTAGTTCACAATAGCAAGCTATTTTGAATTTGGACCAATGATATCTAATGACATTATTTTGAAAAGGCAGTAATAGGCAGACAAAAATTAAAGATTCAACAAAAAAGATGTCATTCAGGCCCTCACAGTTGTAGGTATAGATTCCAAGTGTAAGGACTAAGATTTGTTGTAGTTAAAATTAAAACAGAAAATGAATATGAAAAATTAGCCACTTATAAATTTATATAGGCAGTTTGCCTAAATGAAAACATATCTTTGAAAAGTAATGTTTATAGGGCTGAGCTTATGGCTCAGTGRTAGAGCGCTCGCCTAGCATCTGTGTGAGGCCCTGGGTTCTATCCTCAGCACCACATAAAAATAAATAAATAAAATAAAGGTATTGTGTCCAACTACAATTAAAAAATAAAATATTTTAAAAAGTAATGTTTATTGAATATTCCAGAGGACTTTTATTTTCTCCCTTCTTCCTTAGGCTTCTTAATGCTTATGATGAACATCAAACACTCCTAAAAGAACAGGATACTTTAAAAAGGAAAGCAGAAAATGGGTATGTAACTTCATAAATCACAAAGGGGTGCTTAAAAGACATGAAAATTTTTAAGTGTTAGTGTTGTGGTAATTTAGATACTATTATATTTATGACTGGGGATTGACAAAGAGTAAAGGCCTGTAGCCTGATTTCTTGGGAGCCTCCTCCTTAAAGTCCCCACTATGGGTCACAAATGCAAGGCAGGCTGGTAGCAGTGACTTGAGTGCAACTGCTTTGGCTTAGGAAATTTAAAAGTAGTATGTAGGTGGGTGATATACATTCCATTTTAGGTATAACTGCTCAGCTCTAGCTAGTGTTATTCAGGAATATGGACACTGTGTAGACATCGTCTTCAAGTGAGAAGTACAGATTTTTATAAACAAAATACCTACCTGTGGGCCACCTCCAATCTCCAGGCCACTATTTTCCCACCGCTGCCATAAAGACACACAAGTATGATTATCTTAGTGAGAGGTCAACCAATGTAGCTGGAGGGTTTTAGGTTTGTAGAGAGTGGAAAGTGAGGCTGCAAGTCTCTTGGGGGCCAGAGTGGAAAGGGATTTGATTACCTTGCTAGAGAATCTATTATTTAGGCTGGCGACTACTGAGGGTTTTTTGAGGAGGGCAGTGAACAGCACGATCTGTGCTTGGAGCAGATAATCTGGGTGTCAGTTGATGAACATATTAGAGAGGTCACACATCTTAGAGATATTAGGTGAAGTTCTTTGGATAGATGATTGAACTTGAGGGATTTCTGTGGGAAAGTTTATACTATCAAGTTTAGTTTTCAGCTTATTAAGCCATAATTTGTCCAGCTATACATTTATGCCACTAGGTATATCTGTCACTTTTGCTTCAGCCAGAATGAACCCTCCCTCCTCCCCCATCAAAAAAGTGTTGAAAACTCCATAAAACAAATATATGCAGATGACATTCATCTAATAAAGTTCTTCTGTGGAAGTTTTATAAGTTTACATTTTGGCTTCCATAGATCAGAAGAACCAGAAGAGAAGAAAGCACACACAGAAGACACAACTTCGTCTTCTACTCAGATGATTGATGGTGATTTACAGGCAAATCAAGCTGCATATAACTATAGTGCCTGGTATCAAGTGAGTCCACGTTAATTGTTTGTTCATATTATTAAAAGTGTATASTTGTATAGCCGATTTATTTATGTTTTTTAAAAGAGAACAACTCACTGTCTGTGGCCAAGTCTTASAACACATTTATTAAATGTAGTTGCTTTAATTTTTATTTCTGGAATTCAGCCATAGTTCAAGAATGCTAACATTTATTTTTTATTTTTTTTTTTAGTACAATTATCAGAATCCCTGGAATTATGGACAGTATTATCCTCCCCCTCCAACCTGATGGGAAAATGTAAATTTCAGATGGAATATGTTAAAAGTATGAAATTATTTTTTTTAAATGAGGGATGTAAACAGAGCATAAGCTTGTTGTATTTGATAACTTGTCTTCCGTTTCTGTGTAACATGATTTGTTTAGAAATAGGAGAAAATGTCAGTTAGTAGCTTACCAGATACTATTTCCTACCATTTATAAAATTTACTTTTTATTGGAGAACTATTTTTTTTATTTTTTCATTAAGTGGTCTAGAATTCTTTTGCAATGCATTTGCAACAGTTTTGTAGCCTTAAGTGTAGGGAAAAACTGACTGCAGATCATGTCAGTATAGTACAAGATTCTGAAAACACGCAAGGGCTGGTTATTAGGGATTTACCTCCTTTGTAAAAACAGACAAAAAATGATTTTTACTGTTGCTGACAAGGTTGTCTTGAGTGTTTCAGTTATACTTGTGAACTTGGATGTTAACTGCAGAAAAGATACAATATTAAAATATGCCTTGGAATAGATTATGAGAAAATGTCATGTTTGCATCCCTTTAAAAATGAAAATCATATCAGAAGTATGTTGTTCCAGGAGACTTTGTATTTAGATTATTCATGTAAAACTGTGAGCAAGCTTTCATTTTGATCAAACTGATCATCTTCATTTTTGTAATAAAACTGAAGACTCATCCAGCAATTGTTTATGAATTTATTTTGTGTGTGKGTGGGGGGGGAGCATCTAGTACTTTATAGTTGGCATTAATGGTTCACTGGTCTTGAAATGAATTTTCCCTATTATTTAGCTATTATTGCCAAGATTTCTTAGCCTATTTAACTTTCTGCTTTGTGTCTTTGACTTCTCATCATTCCCGGATACTTAAAAAGATTTTTACAGTCATTTAATGTCCTTGGCAAGGCTGTCTAGGTAATTTTTATTTAGTTATTGCCTTCTAAGTCCYTAGTTCTGTTTACCTAATCAGAACATTAATACAGTAATACCAATAAAGCAGTCAAATCAAGATACTGGAGACATTTTTTATTGAGCCTTTTAGTTTACATGAGGTAAAAGGCCAAGCAGTTCTTCTCCTTAACCAATGTTTTATGCAGCTATAATAAAATATTTTAGACTTCAGGGAYTTATAAAGGATTACATTTCTTAAAAGTTGGGGTCAAGTAAATAAATTTTAACTCTTTGAATTTTCCAGTTGACTCAGTTGACTCTTCCCTTATAACAGAAACAAGCTCTAATTCAGTTTCAAGGGCAAGTTTYATCGTTGTTGTCATCTTTAGATCCCAAGTACTTGGTTATTTCAATCAATATCCACTAATTCTATTTCAAAAATGAGCTTTGCATTTGGTGGAATTCTGTTGAAAAAGTCAAGGTAAATTTGATAAAAATGTACCTCTTTTCAATCCCCAGTAACCTCAATGTAAGACATCAATAATTAATCTTTTTCTTTTTTTGCAGTGCTAGGGATTGAACCCTGGGCCTTGCACATGCTTAGGCAAGCATTCTACCAACTAAGYCACATTCCCCAGCCCAATAATTAATTCTAGAAGGAAAAGCTTTGTAGTTTATTCAGAAGCTAATATATAACTAACCTAGAGATCCCTATCATAACCTATCAATGTAGGCTAACTAGGTTAAGCTGAACTTTTACTTGGTTCCCCCTTAACCTAGATATAGATACCTCACTAATACTGCCAAATTAGCGCCACCCAGTAATTTAAAAGGAAAAAAAAAAAGTCATTGTATTCTACTGAGTATATATGCTGTATATCAGTTTTATGAGGTTGTTCATGGTATTTACTATGAATTTAAAGATGCCGAATTCAGAAAAGGGTGTGATTTATGTGTACCAGATTAGTCTTAAAGATATTTCTTCACATTGAGAGGAAGCTGCAGGTGGCCATCTGGTTTTGAAAGGCGGAGAACTATTCTCAAATAAGTTTAACTGATAAAAGACTATATAGAGAACTTGTAAAGAAATTTTTTTTCATCAAAATTTAGAAGTTGAACTGGGCCAACAGGAAGGGAACCAGCAATAACAATAACTACATTCCCATTTACCTGCTGAATTGGTCTGGTCTGAATGAATGGTCTGGAGTCATTTTGCCGTTTTGTGTTTTTAAATGTTCACAAACTTGGCCTATCAGAGAAGTGCTGTCTTAAGTATTGATAATAAATGGTTATTAACACTACTCAGTCCTGTGGTTGTCTTCATTTACACTTGTAATCCCAATATGTGTTCTAATTACTAGTTAATAACCTTAAATTATAATGTAGAATAAAATTACCACGAGCTATTTGTCCCCCGTTTTTAATTGTTTGTACTGGACATTGTAACTTATTGAAGTAAATCCTTCAAACAGTAAACTGTTAAGAATTGTCTTTCACGGGCTGGGGATGTGGCTCAAGCGGTAGCGCGCTCGCCTGGCATGCGTGCGGCCCGGGTTCGATCCTCAGCACCACATACCAACAAAGATGTTGTGTCCACCGAGAACTAAAAAATAAAATATTAAAAATTCTCTCTCTCTCTCTCTCACTCTCTCTTTTTTTTTCTTTTTTTTTTTAAAAGAATTGTCTTTCAAAGATGAAAGCTTAAAATTCACAGTGAAGATCTTGGAAATAAGAACTTGAATAAGAGACAAAAAGGATGAGTCTAGCTGAAGCCTGAATAATTTGTACCAATAGTAAGTGCTGAAGTTATTATCCATGGGCATGGTAGCATGGACCTGTTGCCCCAACTTTCTCAGGAGGCTGAGGTGGGGGGATCACTTAAACCCAGGAATTGGAGGCTAGCCTGGGCAACAAAGCAAGACAGTCTTGAAGACTAGTCTGGAGATGATTTGTCATTTCTCATCTGGATCCTAGACTAGACAGCATCTTTCCCAACACTTTCAGGTGATCTTTCCCAAGTTTTTGTTTTTTCCTTTCATTACGAAGGGGGAAAAAGGATACTTGGCATCAGGCTGTCCTTTCTTTCCATAAGCCCATTCAGGTTCAATCTCCAGTCGAGCCTTTTCTCCTTTACTCATAGTCAAGAGTGCTTCATCCCACTAAAGGCCAAGAGCAAAAATAAAAAATAATGTTTTTCAAAAAATACATACAATATAAGAACAGCAAATGTAGATAAATTTTTTAAAGGGGATTTTTGGATTTTATTATGTCCTCAGGGTAAGATCCTTGGTTGAATCCCTAAAACTTTGTCTTCAATTTCCCCAATAGGAAAAAAAAAATAAGGCTATATTATTAATAAATGTGATACTCAGGGGCTGGGGATGTGGCTCAAGCGGTAGCGCTCTCGCCTGGCATGCGTGCGTCCCGGGTTCGATCCCCAGCACCACATACGAAGATGTTGTATCCGCCGAAAACTGAAAAATAAAAATTCTCTCACTCACTCTCTCACTCTTTCTAAAAAAAAAAAAAAAAAAAGTGATTTCAAACTCAAGTGTAAATCACTTTTGTACTGCGACATGCAGCATCAGTTTGTTATTAGTACCACTATTAAAAAACTGTTCCGCTTTTACCCATCATAGGACAAACTCAGGAGTTTATTTTTGTAGGGAAAAACTAGGAAGCATTTTAAAACTTAAGATTACCAAACTGTCTTGTTACAAACGTAAAACTAACTTTATATAAAGGATTCTGGGTTGCTTCTCCCATAGTTTTTAAATTTCRGACTTTAAAGCCAGTTATCTAAACAGTTCAAGTATTAGGATACAAAATATAGAGTATATTCTAAACATCATATACTCTGTTGAAATGCAACAATCAAATGAAACTCAAGGGATAAAGGTCTTTTATATCTGGAAATTAATAATACGATGAACTAGAAGAAATTTACCAGTATGCAAATAAGTTATAGAATTAGAAAAATTGCTGAACTTGATATATAGTATAAGCAGGTATCAGTTAAAAGTTATGTTATTAAACCTTTAGTTTCAAGATGTTTTATATTCTGATTTGGGTTCTGGATATAATTGTCTGAACTACATTTGCCCACAGTATAAAGGTATTATGTTAAGAATTCTTACAACTATTTAAATAGACATTTCAGTTGTTAATGTTTGATGTTCTTGGTGATTATAATTTAAAGTCAAATATTCTCACAAAGAATTTCCTTATGAAGAAAAATATTAAAAGGGTTAGACATGGAAGAAATTAATTTGAGTTCTTATTATATTTTGTACTTGGTTATGCCCATTTAATCTTTCAACAGATTTGAGGTAGGCAATACCCCTGTTTTTTTATATAGATAAGGCAACTTATTCTTTACTTACTCCTCTGATAACTTTGCCTACTCCAACCTTAAAACTTAAAGGCTTGGCATTTTTCTTCTTCTTTGAACCTGTAAAACAGATTTTTCTTTTAATTAATGATACACTCTAGTTGTGTTAAGAAATTAAGATCCAGTGGAAACAGTGATTTAATTGACCTCRGAATTGTAATGCAATATATTTGAAAAGGAATAACAACTCAGAAAGCCAGGTATATTCATCAAGAAAATTTTAGGGGGAGAGAGGGGAATAATAGCATGGATGGTGAAAGGAGACCCTCATCATTATACAAAATACATATTATGAAGATGTGAATTTGGTGTTAACATACCTTATATATAATCAGAGATATAACAAATTATTGTATAATGGTATATTAAGAATTGTAATGCAAAAATAGATAAAAAGAAAAAAATTCTAAATGTAAAAATAATGATCTAAATGAAGAGTAGAAGATTAGGACCTATATTTATCCTACTAAAATAGCACACTTTTCCCTTTTATATTAAAATTCTAAAGAATCACTTTGGGATGTTGCCATGGTGTATTGAGGCTTGGTCTTCAATGCAGCAGTGTTGGGCCTACTAAGAAGGCTATTAAGGGCCTATTAAGAGGGGCTAGAAATATAGCTCAGCTGGTAGAGTGCGTGCCTCACATGCAAAAGGCTCTGTGTTCGATCCCCACCACTACAAAGGGAAAAAAAAAAGGTGATTAGGCCACTAAGGATTCGTGATTTTCTCAGAGGAGTATTCTTGTGGGCCTGGATTGGTTACTTAAGAGGGAATTATTAATAAAGCAAGCCTAGGACCATCCCCTTCATATTCACGCTTTTCTACTTTTCCACCATGCTTGGAGCAGCAATGACTGTGAGCCATAAAATACCAAGTCTCAGGCGTTCAATGTGTTAGAGCAACAGAAAATGGACTAAAATAGACATTAACCATATTTAGACTATTGTTCGTCATTTTTTGCTTTCCAATAACCATAAGTTCTTCAGCCAGACAATAATCCATGAACTGAAGTCCTTCTCCAAGTAAATCATAGGTGCAAAAAGACATCTGGAAGAAAGAAGGCTAGCAACCAAGGAAAAGGCACTGCCAACTAACTGCTTATCSTGTCTACTATATAAATGGACAATGTCTGAAGGCAAAAAGTATGATTACATTAAGACTTACTTGTTTGAATATTGGTATCAAAAACAGTCCCATCCTGAAGTGTTCCTGTATACCAGCAGTGAACAACATCTCCTTTTTTGGGAAAGTTGGTTTTATCTCCCTTTTTTAGAACAGATTTTGTATATTTTGGTGGACCCTAAAAATAAACAAATCAACATACAGTTATTAATTTATGCCCTTCTTAGATGACAAAGTACTTTACCTCTAGTCAACTTCTATGAATTAAAGAAACTATCTCATTTTACATCTGGGATGAAATTATTAGTAACTTCTATACCTACAATTTAATTTTTAAAATTTTTAAAATTTTTTTAGTTGTTGTTGGACACATGCCTTTATTTTTATTTATTTTTATGTGGTGCTGAGGATTGAACCCAGCGCCTTGCACATGCTAGGCAAGCGCTCTACTGCTGAGCCACAACCCCAGCCCCACCTACAATTTAATTTCAAATAACTTCCAGCATCTTGGAAACCTGGCAAGAGTCTTAATTATTCAACAAACCATAAAATGAAGTYAGTTATTTCTTAGGGTTGGAAAAATAATAATTACTAATTTCCTATAAAATCATAGGCAATGAATAAAATATTGTGACTTTTTCCAAAGGTTTGTTTTAGCAATAATTATTGCTAGATATTATGTTCAGTAAAAATGGAAATACAATGATGTTGCCTTTGTATCTGAACTTGAAAATAAGTTCACACAAAGAACAAAGTTACCTACCAAAATTGCCCAACCAGTCTAACAATTATCAGGATCTTGGGGGTGGGGGTGCGCCGGTGGCTACAGGATAACCTAATCATAAGTGAAGAGAGCATAGAGGAGATGATYTGTCAAGAATCTTGGGGTGTGAAGGGGAGTTACAGCAAATGTGAAAGTATTCTCTTTACCTAAATCTGTTTGGTTTTTGCATTCAGAAAGGGAGGGATCTGCATTATCCAAATCTGTTTTTGGTTCCTAAATTTCATAATACAAGAAGAGAAGACACGGCTGGATTTAAAGAACTTCGAATCTATCTGGTTCCCAAGTTTGGAAAGCAAAAGAAATAGTGTTTTCTTTGGGTGAAGTCATAAATTTTTACTCACTTTCACTTCTCTTAGTTTTATTTCTTTTCAAAATTTACAAGTAGAAGTCTGATCTTCCTGCAAATAGTCTTCCTCTTTGATAAAGATTTCTCTTTGACCAAACTCTAACCACTATCCATAAGCCTTTTCTGGACCTTAGACTCTAAACCTAGACTTGTGAAGTCTTAAACAAGCACTAACAGTTTCAAACAGCTCAAGGTCTAATTTCTTTTTCTTTCTTTTTTTTTTTTAAAGAGAGAGTGAGAGAGGAGAGAGAGTGAGAGAGGAGAGAGAGAGAATTTCCAACATTTATTTTTTTAGTTCTCGGCGGACACAACATCTTTGTTGGTATGTGGTGCTGAGGATCAAACCCGGGTCGCACGCATGCCAGGCGAGCGCGCTACAGCTTGAGCCACATCCCCAGCCCTAAAGGTCTAATTTCTAGGATGATTCCTCTCCCTCCTTAAATGCCTGCCTGCCTGCCTGAGAAAACTCAAAGCTGTATAAAAAATCATTCTAGCCACCACTTGATAGGGCCCCGGTCTCCTAATATGTGTAGGAGGTTATCAGTAGCCTGAAACTTCAAGGGCTGGATAGCAAACCCAGATGGGTTTCACTTATTTCCTCAAAAGGCCCTATTGCCAGTAGACTGAAAAAAGTCCGTTTTCACCATTTTAAAGTCTGTGTTTACTTTTGACAATGTCAGTCCTCCACTCAATTGCTGGAGTGAAATTAATTATTACTGCTACACTTGTATGCTGAAAGGCCTATGCCATGCAGGTTCCTTATCTGTAGAATTCTATCCACTGTTAATAGAGCTAGCAGCTATAATTTTGTGTCTCTACAATGCCTTCTGTAAACCTCTGNTGATTCCTCTCCCTCCTTAAATGCCTGCCTGCCTGCCTGAGAAAACTCAAAGCTGTATAAAAAATCATTCTAGCCACCACTTGATAGGGCCCCGGTCTCCTAATATGTGTAGGAGGTTATCAGTAGCCTGAAACTTCAAGGGCTGGATAGCAAACCCAGATGGGTTTCACTTATTTCCTCAAAAGGCCCTATTGCCAGTAGACTGAAAAAAGTCCGTTTTCACCATTTTAAAGTCTGTGTTTACTTTTGACAATGTCAGTCCTCCACTCAATTGCTGGAGTGAAATTAATTATTACTGCTACACTTGTATGCTGAAAGGCCTATGCCATGCAGGTTCCTTATCTGTAGAATTCTATCCACTGTTAATAGAGCTAGCAGCTATAATTTTGTGTCTCTACAATGCCTTCTGTAAACCTCTGTTGCAACACCTGATACACATGTTGCAATTTCTTAAAAAAAAAATATATATGATATATATATATATATACACACACACATACCTGTGTGTGTGTGTGTGTGTGTATTTGTAGTTATACAGAATACTTTTATTTTGTTTATTTTTATGTGGTGTTGAGAATGGAACCCAGTGCCTCACAGGTGGCAGGCAAGTGTTCTACCAATGAGTCACAATCCCAGGCCCCACGTTGCAATTTCTTAACTCTAAGGTCTAGATCAGGGGATCTCAAAACAAGCAATTTTGCTTCCCCAGGGACATCTCAGTATGATCTGGAGACATTTTTAATTGTTACTACTGGGAAGGGCTGGGGAAGASAGGATGCTCCTGCCACCTAGTGGGTAGGGGCCAGGTATGTTACTAAACATCCTTCAGCCTGGAACAGCCCCAACAACAAAGAATTAATTGTTCATACAAAATGTCATTACTCCAAGACTAGAAAATGTTAAGTCTACAATATACTTGATTTTTAAGAAATGTTGAATGGTGAAGAAAATGAATAATTTCTTACATAGGAGAAAATATATCTTCAGCTCATGAATATCCACTAAAAATAAATTGGCATTTTGATTACTACTCTTGTGATTTGGGCTAGAAATTAACATGTGGTTTACAAACAAAATAAGCACTTGATAATCTCAATAATTTAATACTATCTTATGTGATCTTTTCAGAAAAATCCAGCTTCCCTTTAGGATATACTATAAATTATACCACTTAGATTAATACACATTCAAATTTTCATTAAAACAAAGATTGAAGAAATATACCACTAGAAAGAMAATTGAAAACTTTCTTATTAAAAGTCTCTATTAAGAACATTTAAAAGTGATTTAATATAGTTATGTATTTATCAAGTATCTTTTGTTTTAAGTGGGGTGAATGCAAGCAAGGAATTCTCAGCATTAAATTCTTTGATATGAAATTATCTGTTTTCTTTATGGAAAAGTCTATTTTCTGGGACTGTAGTTCTAAAAATATCCTGCTGTCAATTTTACTTTAGCGTTACTGAAGAATAATTTAAAAATACCTCCAGTTCACCGTATTTTACAGACCTAGAAAACTGCCAGGCTTAACAGTGCACACTTTTAATCCCAGCTACTTGGGAGGCTGAGGCAGAACATCTCAAATTAGAAGCCAGTCTTGGCAAGTTTGACTAGCTTCAGAAACTTAGGGAGACCTTTTGGTTCTGGGGACTGAAACTAGGAGTGCTCCACCACTGAGCCACACACTTTTTAATTTTGAGACAAGGTCTTACAAATTTACTCAGGTTGGCCTTGAATTTGTAATCCTCCTGTTTTAGCCTCCAGAGTTGCTGAGATTATACTTGTGTACCTCTAGCACCTGGCTTAAAAATAAAATTAAAAAAAAAAAAAACTTAAAAAGGCTGGGATATAGTTCAGTGATAAAGCCACCAGAGTTCAACCTCCACTACTGCACAAAAACAAATAAACCCCTAAGACTGGTGTGGGGTACACACCTATAATGTCAGCGATTTGGGAGACTGAGGCAGGAGGATTAAAACTTCAAGACCAACGTGGACAATTTAAGGAAACCCTATTTCAAAATMAAAACTAAGAGTTGGGAATGTAAAGTGCTGAGTGCCCTGGGTTCAATCCCTAGTACTGCATAACTCCAAAAGATACTGCCCAGGCTGAACAGTGCCTCAACTAAAAACTATTAACATATCAAGAAATATGATGAGCTGGGCCCAGTGGTACATACCTATAATCACAGCAACTTGGGAAGTTGTGGCAGGATTGCAAGTTTAAAGAGAGCCTCCTCAACTTAGTGAGGCCCCAAGCAACTTAGTGAGACCCTGTCTCAAAAAAAAAAAAATGTTGGGAATGTGGCTTAGTGGTAGAGCACCCCCAAGTTCAATCCTCAGTAAACCCCCGCCTTAAAAAAATCTGATAAATGGGTTAATATCTGTTTGTTATATTTTATCCAATATGCGCCAAAACCTTAGAATATATATACTTCTACACTAAGTAATGGAAAGGGAAATTAGACATTAAATACCTATTATTTGCCAGTCATTTAACACATACTTTTCTTCCCATTTAACCTAACAACAGTTCTCTGAAGAGCATATCACCCACTTACTATTTTGCAGATGGTTCAGGGAATTTATTCACATAGGTAGTTAGATGTAGAGAAGTAGGGGTTTGTCTGAATCCAAAGCCCCTGTTCTTTCCATTATACCACAACACCTCAAGAAATAGTGATAATGATAGTTAACGTTTATGTTAACAGTTAAAACAGTTAATTTCTGCTCATCCTCTACGTATCTAGTACTATTTCAAATGCTTCACATGCATTAACTCTTAAAACAGTCACTATCTTATAAGGTAGGTAATACATAAAGGAAACATGAAGACAGAATAGTTAAGTAACCTGCTTAAGGTCTAACAACTTTTTTTATTTTTAAGGATGGGCAAAGACTCAGAGGATCAACTGTTTTTTTTTTTTTTTTTAAGGGGGGGGGAGAGAGAGCAAGAGAGAGCGAGAGAATTTTTAATATTTATTTGTTAGTTTTCGGCGGACAACATCCTTGCCTGTATGTGGTGCTGAGGATCCAACCCAGGCAGCACGCATACCAGGCAAGCACGCTACCTACCGCTTGAGCCACATCCCAGCCCTTAAGGTCTAACAACTTTTGAATGGTTGAGGATTGGAAACAGGCAGACTGGATATCTAGTCTATGATCTTAACCACTTCTCTACCTCTCGAGTACATATGGGATGTCAGGTATTAATACAAGTGACTTAATTCATTTAACTATCAGAAGAACAGTGGTATTTTCTCTATTTTCTGGAGAGAAAGTAAGGTGTGGATAGTGCAAATATACCCCAAACCCTGCCAGTTTCTCTTTGCTTCCCGGCTGTCACGAGGTGAGGGCTTCATCCACAAAGTGCTCACACCAGGATAAAAAGCCAATGACCAACTAACCATAGGCTAATCAGTTCAGCTTGAGGATTACCACTTTCAATGAAATGTAGGCTGTTCCCCTAAGTCAAAAGCCACAGCTTGAGTAAATGTGTACTAAGAAAGTAACTTAAAGTAAATCTAAATTGGAACTAGCCAAAGTGCTCTGTAGCAACATAAAGCTAGTACTATAGTTTAGATTTTTTTTWAAATCAGGGATTGAACCCAGGGGTGCATAACCCCTGAGCCACATCCCCAGTCCTTTTTTTTTTTTTTAATACTTTTAGTTATAGATTAACACAATACCTTTATTTATTTATTTTTATGTGGTGCTGAGAATTGAACCTAGTGCCCCAGACCTGCTAGGCAAGCACTCTGCCACTGAGCTACAACCCCAGTCCTATCCCTTTTAAAAAATATTTTATTTAGAGACAGGGTCTTGTTGAGTTGCTTAGGGCCTTGCTGAGTTGCTGAGTTTGGCTTTGAACTTGTGATTCTTCTGTCTCAGCCTCCCGAGCAGCTGGGATTACAGGTGTGGGCTACCGCTCCTGGCTTATAGTTTGGATGATGAATGTTCCACAAAGGCCCATGTGATGAAGGCTTGGCCCCCAGTTTACGGTGCTACAAGGTGGGGCCCTGTGAAAGGGGACTGGGGGACCCTAGACACTTCCAGTTTTTCTTTGCTTCCTGTCATGAGTTCAGGGCTTCCTCCACAAAGTGCTCACACCAGGATGAAAAGCCACTGACCAACTGACCATAGGCTGAAACCACCAACATTGTGAGTCAAAATAAACCTTTCTTCCTTATAAGCTGTTTAACTCRGGTATTTTGTCAGTGATGAAAAGCTGATAACAAAAGTAGCGACTACTGTATTGAACAGTATAGTTCTACAAAGCACAGAATTACTGTACTAAAGCTTTTCTTTTTTAATAGGGTATGGTTAGCAAAGTATTACTTTACTATTTACTAAATATAATTCTTTACATAGCTTACTGGAATGATCATTTTTATATTAAATGGATGAAGAAAATTAAAGGCAAGAAATCAGCTTTTCTAACAACTTCTGAGGCCTTGGCTGCTTTAAAATGGAAATGGGATAGATTTTAAAAGAAAGAATATATTTGAGAGCATTAGTCCTGAAGGAGGTATGAGAAGGGAGAACATTTAAACTGTAAAGAAAGGAATGGTTATAATTACAGTCATGTGAAGGAAAAGGAAAGTCAAACATTCACAGAACTTTTAAGTAGGGAAGAAGGGAATGATTAWAACTACAACTCTTACAGAAAATCATACAGCTGATAGCTAGAGATAAGAGGCAGAGTACTGTCTAGCATGTGCAAGTTCAATCCCCAGTATCATGAAAAAAGAAAAATAAAATGAGTTTAGGACTCCCATATGACCTCTCTATATTGTCTTTAGGCCTTAAMAACTTGCCTTTCATTTGGAATTCTTTTTTTTTGACCCTTTAAGGATGTAACATCTGTCTCCTAATACCACCCTCATCCCAATTTTCTGGAAGGTAATGCTGCCAATTGTTTTTGCAACCCTTTAGTAATTATGGTTCTATGTACCTTAGTAACTGCTGAAATTCTGCTCAGGAGATATTACATTTACCAAACATTAGTTGTGATAAACCTCCAAAATATTTTATGTGTGTATATACCCACAAATATTAATTTGTGCTTTTCAACCAATATGAAGAGATCATGCAAAATTAACTATTTTAATAAAAAAAAATCTATGTCTACCTGAAATTACACTGTCCACAAATACCCAAATGCTATGTCTTCATCAAAAGGCCATACCTGTTTATAAGAACTAAAAATAAATTACTATTACCAAGATTGCTCTCAATGATATGTTATAAAAAATGCAAAGATTATAGTCAGTTTAGCTCTATTCATGTAGCTCTTAAGGATTTYGATGCAGAAATGCTGTTATCTGGTTCTTCAAATCTTTGCATCAAAATATAAAATCTGGGCTGGGAAAGATGAGACAAATGAATCCATACTGTATAGCCAGGATTAGATTATTTCCACTGCCAGGGATACCATGTACATTAGAAAAAGCTAAAAATAATTATTAAAAAAAAGTTTCTTTTACTCAGTCCAATTTGGCTAGAGAATCAGGTCCTTTAAATAGCTTTCAAAGCTCAGATGATCTGGCCAGACATGGAGACAATATTAAATACAAAGAAGTATTTCACAAGATAGGCTACTATTTGTAAAGAAATGATTCTTTGGATTTCTATCCTAATACCCAAGAGAGATGGCATACCAGAATTCCGAGTTTGGCTCAGTAATAGTGTCTGTATTCAACCATCCCTCTGAAAAGTCAGTGCTAGAAGGAAACAATATTTCTAAAATTGACTTGAGTAATAAAAGATGAAAATATTATAGACAAACCTCATCCAGAGTCTCTTCAGATTTGGTTTCTTTGGGTTTATCTTCATTAAGCTTCACATTTTTAACTTGCTCAGACACTTTACTTACACTCTCAGTACCCTTGAATCGCTGTAAAAAATATTCTAACATTAACATTCAGGACAGGCTAAACATTAGAGGGGCATTCAGATTTTAAGCCTCTCAATAAGCATCTGCATGATGAATACAGGTTATATAACACAAACTTAATTCACCTAAGGAAACCACCTAAGAACAAAGGAAGAAATATGTTAAGTATTTTAATAAAGCATGATGCTAAGATTAGCTAACAATATAAATTCTGAAATAAGAAACATGACCTTTAGAAAAGCCAACTCAGACTTGTGAGATATGAATACTATTCAAACAGCAGCTTCTTTTTTTTTTTTTTCTTTTTTGTGGTGCTAGGCATTGAACCCAGGGTAAGGCAAACACTCTACCAACTGAGCTATATCCCCAGTCTTCAAACAGCTTCTTAATAAAGATTATTTTCTGTGGAAGACAATCATTTCATAGTGAACAAATATTAGAGAATACATTAAAATGTTTTTCTAAAGGCTCATCTTAAATCAGAACCAGTCATTAAATTCTATAGTGAAATGGACCTTACTTTCCTCCATATAACATTTTATATACAGTGTAAATGCTTCATATGATAATACCAAATGACTAATGGATTTATCATTTAAGAATCTTTTGTCAGGAAATTATTTTTAAAAATCTGGTCCCTTTCAAAATACCAAAAGATGCTGAGCAGAGTGGTGCCTACCTGTAATCTCAGCAACTCAGTAGGCCAAGATAGGAGGATCACAAGTTCAAGACCAGACTTGGCAATTTAGTTCAATCCCCAGTCCACAGAAACAGAACAAAACAAAACAAAAAGCAAAACCCTCAAAATACCAAAACATGTGTCATACTGCAGGTTAGTTTTGCTAGATTTGATAGCTAGTCCAATTATGATTGTAATTAAGAAAGACTGCAGGTGGAAAAACTCCCAATTCTGCAAATAAATGCATTTAAAACCTCTCTTTGGAAATAAAATTTCTAAAATGATTTCTGCTCATAGGATGTAAAAATACTCACCTTACTTTCAAACAGGTGGTTATAGGCTGTAACCAAATGGTCCTTATTAGCTGTCTTGGCTACATTTTTAATGTTGCCTAATAACTTATGCTCTGCAAGAAACTACAAAGAAAAAAGCTGGTTACTCAAAATAATTCCCCTCAAGAAGGCTCTAAGATAAGGTTTAGAGCTAAGTGTGATTATTTGGCCTATGGTCCTAGCTACTTGAGGGGGCTGATGTAGGATTGCTTGAGCCTAAGAGTTTGAGACCAACTTGAGCAATACAGTAAGACCCTGTCTCAAAAAGAACAACAAAAAAAATTAGCAAATGATCTTTCAATGTTAGCTATGTTTTCAAAAGTATTAATAAAGAAGAAATGAAATAAATGCTTTTGGGAGCCTGTAGCTATGCTGGGCATGGCTCTCTTAACCTATCCGTAACCCATAGCTGGTTAAGAATGAGTTACAAACAGGTTAAGATAGCCAGAATCATCTATCTATATATGGGCTGTAAAGTCATATTATCTTGGCTAAAATCCACCTCTCTGATCTTGTACAGAGGACAAAGCCTTCCATATCTGTAGTGAAAGATTAATAACAGAATCTGTTAAAGAACTGTGATAAGGATAAAATGCAATAATCCATTTAATGCATTTAGCTAAAAGTGTGTTGCATGGTAAGAACTATTAGCTATAATGTATTAAGTAGCTCACAGTAACCAGAATTCTTTTTCTTTTTGAAATATAAGACTGTAAGTTGACAAATGGACACCAAAATACCACTACTGAAACATCAAGTTGTGGCAGGTTCATCTCAAAATCAGGTAATGTTAATGTCAAATAATTTTCATGATGTCATTTTATTTTATTTTGCTTCCTTTCTTGACTTGTGGTCCTTATTAGAGTTCTCCATTTTATTACTTTTTCAAAGTTGTCCCTTGGTGTCTCCTGTTTTTCTTTCTCTTTTTGTGGTACTGGGAACTGAACAGGCCTCAGGTATACCAGGTAAGCACTCTACCACGGAACTACATCCCTAGTCCTTCAGTTTTTCTAACATTATCACTACTCCATTTTTCCCCCTTTGCTTTTGCTTTCCTTCTTTTGAAGAAATGTTCTAAATGATAAAGGCTGACTGGAGAAAGGAGATAAAGTTGATTATCTAGAAATCAGTTGCATAGCACTCATGACTTTAGGAAAAGTTCAAGAAAAATACCTAAAATATAAACATCTCTTGGATGTAATCAATAAAATGATGACTGTAAAATATAGCAAATATAGGTTTATGTAAGTGAATGTTCCACAGAGAACACGCATTTAAATGATTAATGTTATATAAATATAATACAAATCTCTGGAATTGTCCCACTTTGGCCTGCATGACATTAGATTCACATTGGTATGATCTGTTTTATAAGAATTTAATGAAATACAATACTGAGGTATTGTTACAATATTTGTACTCATTTCTATTGTTTCAGTTGAAATATTACTCGCTTAAGAGAAAATAATTTCATTAAAATGGTATAAGATCCCTGACATAGGGTCTTTTCCACCGATTCCCAAAAGCAGGAAAATAATAACTTTAAAACTAGGTTTAAATACGTGAATGATCACTAGAGAAAATTCATTTAAATGACTCGTAGTTCAGCAATTATGAAGGTTATAAAGGATCTTCATTTCTGAAGGACAAAAAAAGTCAGGTCTGACAAAAATAACCAGAGACTACAATTGGGTGGTTATGATAGAAACTATGCTAAAAAAATTTAGGGCACACATCATAAAGAATACCAAAAAGATTTCTTAATCTGATTGTTTATAACTCTGGGAGACCACTGTGTACWCGTAACTTCGTTAATACAATGATGAAAATGGTTCAATATTTTTCTAAGAAGTTCAACCACAATCTACAGGCTTTTGAAAAATCACATGGATTAATGTTTGTTATTCAGTGAATTGGTGAGGAAAGCAAGGTGCACATACAGTTCCCACGTAAATTTCAAATTCCTCTCCATTTCCCTAGTAGCCAGCATTCCGCTCCAGGGTCTCACCCAATCCTATTCCCCGCCTCAGCCACCAACATCTCCGGGTTCCTTTTTTCTGGCCTCCACCCTCATTTAAGGATCCCAAYGGAGTTTTAATTTAGCGATTGCAGCCTGCATGTCTCAGAAAATAAGGCCATTCCCCCGCGGAAGTAGGGCCGGCCCGTGGGGCGGGAGCGCACTGGGGCCGCTCCGACCTTCCGCGCCACGGGCCGCGGGAGGGCGAGGGCGGGGGCACAGAGGAATACGGAATGCATGGGCATCTCCAGGGGGGGTGAGGCGTCCCTCAGCTGAGCCAGCCCGGCCTCCCAGCCGCCTCTGGTACCGAGTCTGAACCGTGATCCTGTAGAAACTTGATAATGTCCTTCTTGGGAAGCTGCTCACTGCGCAGCTGCTCCACGGTCCACGCCCGCTGTGGAACTGCCGCCGCCATCTTCCCCCGCCGCCTCTGCTTTACTGAGCCAGCCCGCCTCACTTCTGCGCCGCCCCGCCCCTGGGGCGTGGCGTGGGCTCGCACGGAGCTTGACGGGGCGTGGTCACTGCGCTACCGGGTGGGATTGGTGCCTGTATTTGAGTGACGTCAAGGCCGTGCTATTGAGGGCTTCTTTGTTGAGTGGGTGTTAAAACCCTGCAAAAGTGGCCACGCCGGTYGGCTGCGCAGAAAACGTCCCGCAGTATTATATTCTCGTTTGGACCTCTTGTGGGGCGACCTCTGATGGTAGYGATGTTTACCAGCCACTATCCACACTATTAATTACTATGGCCTGCTATGCCTTAAAGGTCCAGTCTATAACCTGCTTAAAGAAAACAACATTCAGACTCCTAATCTCATTTTTAGCTAGTTACATCCTAATGATTCATCTCTGAATTGGCTCTGTCCTTGTCTATTAGAACAATCCATACCAAGCTAATTCCTTATTAAAGCTCACATAAACGAAACCTAAATACAAACCCCTTTCTTCCTAACGAAAAGCGAAAATTTTGTTCAGAAATTTGAATAAAATAAAGAAGSTGTACTTTAGGTTGCGACTTACTGATGATGGGTGGCATTATTAATGCTTATAGCAGCTACGTGGTGTATTTGTACTTTTCATCAATACAAGAGGGAACAAATTTTGTACATTAAGTCATTAGGTTTCAAGTAGAGAAGCCAGGAATTGCATCCAAGTCCAGGTAGGCTATAACTAACGGTAGAGTAATCGCACATCTAAATTCACTGCTCTAAATCTGTAGTAAAGATGAAATAGTGGAACTTCAGAATACCTTTTATTAATTTTCTAACGAATAACGGGACCAGCCTACATTCACTTTCCTTTGAATAGTAAATTGTTAGAATAATGGCTTGCCAATCCCAACACAGTGAAACGATCAGGCAGTTTTCTCAGTCTAGAGAGAGGAATAAGATATATCCTTAATTTTATCCACGCTATTTTGATTTTCACCACATCACCTGACTTAAGTGCTCAATAACGTTAACTTCACAAAATTATGAGCATTCCATTGTCTCCGGGATCTCAAGGTCATTTATTTTAATCATTGTAAACGGTATCACGTTCGCAATGACTCGCAGACACCTAATCGAGGGAAACGGAACTCAAATTCAGAGTCTGCTAAAACTGTGAAGGGGACTAAATTTAGAGCAAYTCCTTAGCAATGCGCATGCGTCTCCAGGAGGTCATGGAGTATTTCCGGAAAGCAAGCCAATCGTACTCCCAACGCAAACTCAGCGGCGGCATTTTCAACTGGATGCCTAGCTGTGGTTCCGCCCTCTGGTTCCTTAGCTTTGTATGCAGGAAACTGATGGAGCTCGGAACTGAGCGGGTAAAACCGCTGTGGATCTCGGTTCCTGAAATAAGCTTTTGGTGGACATCAGCCTCATGAGTGGACGGCAAAGAACGCTTTTCCAGACGTGGGGCTCAAGCGTTTCCCGATCGGTTGGGACTCCTAGTTGCAGCTCCGGAACTGAACGGCCTCAGGCCTGCTCAGAGGCTCGTTTATCTGCCGCGGCTGCGTCTCAGCCGGAGTCGGACGATGATGTGTTACTAGTCGCAGTGTACGAGGCTGAGCGGCAGCTGAGTCTAGAGAATGGCGGGTTCTGCACCTCAGCGGGTGCCCTGTGGATCTACCCCACTAATTACCCTGTGCGGGACTACCAGCTGCGCATCTCCAGGACCGCTCTGTTCTGCAACACTTTGGTGTGTCTTCCTACCGGGCTGGGAAAGACCTTTATTGCCGCCGTGGTCATGTACAATTTCTACCGCTGGTTTCCTTCCGGCAAGGTTGTTTTTATGGCCCCCACGAAACCCTTGGTGACACAGCAGATCGAGGCTTGCTACCAGGTGATGGGTATCCCACAGTCCCACATGGCCGAAATGACAGGTATTTGAGAAAGGATGGGTTGATTTGAAAATAAGAGCTTTATTTCTAGGGATGAACATACGTTGTGGTGGAAATAGAGCTAAAGAAATTCCTGATGCATGTGGAATACTTACTAGATCCAAATATTCTCATCTTACATTCTTTCGGAATGTGGTAGGCCCAGCACTGATGAACAGGATTGTTTATTAAACCTTCAGAGAATCCCTGTGGTTTGTCAGTATTTTGAAGCATTCGTGTATTATATCCCTTGGGCATTCTTACTAAGAATGATTTCCCAATTGAAGAATTTGCTTCGCTTCTAACATTATGCCATTTTGCAGGAATTATAAGGACAGTCTATTTAAATGATGCTCTTTGACATTTGGGGCAAATTGGAGATTTAACATGTAGCATTTCAATGAGTTGTTACATTGTTCTCCACTTAAGCACATTCCTAAAGCATGATTACATTTTGAAGATAGGCTAGACTGTTTTTGTTTTAAAAATATCAGTCTGGGGCTGGGGATATAGCTCAGTTGGTAGAGTGCTTGCCTAGCATGCACAAGGCCCTGGGTTCAATCCCTAGCACCACAAAAACAAACAAACAAACAAACAAAAAAAAAACAGTCTGGAGTTTAAAATATAGACTTTCACTTTATTTACAGGTTCCACTCAAGCTTTCACCAGGAAGGAAATATGGTGCAGTAAGAGAGTCCTTTTTCTTACACCTCAGATCATGGTAAATGACCTTACTAGAGGAGCTTGTCCTGCTGCTGATATAAAGTGTCTAGTTGTTGATGAAGCTCATAAGGCTCTTGGAAACTATGCTTATTGTCAGGTAATAATTTTGTAAAATAATATTTAGTAGTTTACCCATATTGTTAAGGAGTATTTTGGGGGATAGTTATTAGTAGTGGAACTTACTGATGGTACTCTAAAAGCCTTAGATTTATTTATGATCTCAACAAATGGTGATTGTAAATAATTTTCCTTCTCCACTCAAATACCTCTACTCTCACTTTTTTTTTTTTTTAAACATTAACAAGACCACTAGCGTGAGATGTGGATTTTGAGAGCCTGGTTATGGTTGGGGTAGTGATTTAACGTAGGAGATGGGTGATAAATTACATGCATGTATGATTATGTCAAAATGAACCCAACTTTTAGGCATAAAGTAACGCACTAGTTAAAAAGTAAATAGATAAAACATAAAGTAGAATCTTCATAGTGTTTGGAAACTAAGCTAATCCAAAGATTGGTAGTAGATTTGTGGGGCCATTCTTTGGCAACTGGATAGGATAATACTTAACATCATTTTTCTAAGGATTAAAAAACATAATGTATGCAGAATGCCTAACAGTGCCTTCCACTTGAGTACTATAGGGATATAAAGTATAAAGGTGGAAATGGTGGAATATGGTTGTAAAAGTTATTCATCTCTTTCACTAAATGGAATTAACCTTCTATTTACCTCTTTTATTGAGGAAACTTTACTTCTTCTATTCTGCTTAAGGACCACATTGTGAAGGCATTTGATAGTTTGAAAGCACTTAATAGGCCACTGGGGATATAAATGGTAGATACTCATTAAAAAATGTTTAGCTGAGGTGATATAATTTGTGAGATTGGAGGGGTGAAGGCTAAAGGCAGAGTATCTGATGTGAGATAGGAGGAAAGTAGGATAATTCCCCGGTTTCTGACTTGGAGAACTGAATATGTGAAAGTTCTGGAGGCAGAGCAGATTTAGRTGAGCATGGAAAGCTCTTGAGTGCCATCTTAAATGCATTGAGTTTGGAGGTGTCTCAGAAAAATCCATGTATAAGATATTCATTAGACACTAGGTGATAATATGGATCTCAGTGGAGAGTTTTGAGCTAGAAGTATTTGGGAATTATCAGCATCTAGGTAGTAACTAAACTTTTTGTAATAGCTGCCAATATTAGGAAGAGGGTCTAGAGTAAGAATAACAAAGGGAAAAATTAGAGAAAGTTTACGTCATTTAATGTGAAAACATGATTTCACCTGCTATTTTATGAATTTGTAGTTTCCTTGCAGACTTTGTTATTGTACTCTATTTCTAATATCCTGAGGAAAACCCTCATCTTTCTTATATTTGATCTTTTAAAATATATCCAGGAGGGCTGGGGATGTGGCTCAAGCGGTAGCAAGCGCGTGCGGCCSGGGTTCGATCCTCAGCACCACATACCAACAAAGATGTTGTGTCCGCCGAGAACTAGAAAATAAATATTAAAATTTCTCTCTCTCTCTCTCTCTCTCTCTCTCTCTCTCTCTCTCTCTCTCTCCCTCCCTCTCTCTCCTCTCTCACTCTCTCTTTAAACAAACAAAAAGAAATATATCCAGGAAATGTATATGTCTTTTCAATTATGTATTGAGATTTCCACTTTATAGGGATATTTTAAAAAATTGTTATAACTATATGGGATTCATTTTGTAAGTTATATTTAACTTATTTATTTTCAAAAAATTTCTAGGCATTAGGTTTTTTTTCAAACTGCCAGCTTTATGATTTTATTGCATACAATCAAACATGGATTTGAATTTGTTAATAACCAAATAGTCCTGAGTTTATGCTACGCAAAGATTCCAGAGTTAATTTGCAATAGGCGCAACAGCTCCATGAAGCATGTAGCTTCCTATGTTAAGAAAACACAGCACCATTTCCTCTTTTCCAAGATGACTTAAGAATCCCTCTTGATAAGAAGCAATGTATTTGGCCTATTTTTCATGTGTAACAATTTTGGAAAGTCTGTTGGTACRTGTGGCATATAACAATAAAACTATTTCATTCTGAACTGCCAGAACTGGTTTATAATCTGAAAGAACATTTTGAATTCTGGCTATCATAGAAAAGGATTTTTAAAAGACACTAATCCAACAAGTGATCTGTTTAGATCATCTTTCTTGTTGCATTTTTTATCCTTCAGTGATATCTGAGGACATCACTTATAACTTATCACTTCTGGCACCAAGGATATTTGTGTTCCAACAGTTTTTTTTTTGGGGGGGGGGTCATGCTGGTGATTGAACCTAGGAGGCCTTACATATGCTAAACAAGTGCTCTGCTACTAAACTACATCAGTTCTTAATTAGAATATTTCTACTTAGGTCTCTGTTGAGTATAATGTTATTTCTTCATATGTAATCTGGGTTATGTTAAAAATTTCATAAATAATATTACTGAGTCTTAATCAGGATTCAGAATGAGTCTCATTAAACCTAAATCATTTGCTTTTCAGATAATAGACAAGTGGTAGTTCCACTCTGAACTATCACTGCCATTGGAATAATGATAATAGACTAGATAGAACAACTTTATTTAGCAGAACTACTATTATTTTTGCATTGGACTGATGAAATTAAAGAATTTTTTTTTTTTTTTTTTTTTAGGTTGTAAGAGAACTGGTCAAGTACACAAATCACTTTAGAATCTTGGCTCTTAGTGCCACACCAGGTAGTGATATGAAGGTAAGTAAAATGTTTTTCCATTTATTAACATTTAAGAAAATAAGAATTTCTGTATGGGGCCAGATCATTTTTCCATTCTAATATTTATATAGTCTGACTTTAGTGTCGTCTCTAACAGGCCTAA